ACGCATTTTATTCAAAAGTTTTACTTTTGCTCGTTTCATTTCGGCTAATTCATTTCGAAGACCTCTTAATCTATTTTCATTCTGAGATTGACTTTTGAGTAATCTCGCATGTTCTTTTTTTGCAGATTGCAAAAGTCGTACTTCTTTTTGCATAGCAGAAAGTTTCTTTTCATATTCATCACGTAATTTTTTTACTTTTTCTGTTGGTGGTGTTGGTTGCTGCTGTAATGATTGTAATACCTTATCTCTTTCTTCCTGAGTATCTCTGATTCGAGCTTGTAATTGAGCAAGTTTATCTTCATAATGTTGTTTCATAGTTTGTAAACGTCGTTGAGAAAGTTCAAGTTCTTGTATTAATCGTTGTTTTACATCAATATCTGATGTTAAAGCTTCCAATTCACGACCCATAGCTGCCTCTTCTTCATCTTCTTCTACAAAAACATTACATATAATGATTATTTATAAGTAATCATCTTTTTAAAATTTCATAAAAAATATAATATTACATAAATATATGTGTGTATACATAAAATATACCTTTTCTATCAGAATCATCATCAGAATCATCTTCACTAACAGAATCCTGAGTCATTTCTATATCATCACCTTCTGCTTCATCTCCTGTTTTACCAGCAATATTAATAGTATGTGTATGTTGTTCTTTCAATGCAGTTAATGTTTCAATTTCCTTTTGTAATTCTTTTTTAGCATCATTTAATATTGATGTAGAATCACTATGAAATATATATCCTGAATCACCATAAGGATTTGCTGCATTAACCTATGTAAAAAATGTATGTAAATTATATATAAATTAAAAAATCATTGAAAAATTAATTTTAGAGCGATAACATTATATTATTTCACAGAAAAATAACATTAATATTACTTTATATACTCTTATATATACTTGTATTTGTCGTTTTTTCAGTTGTTGATACATAGCTTCAGCTTCCAAAAGACGAGCTCTTAACTCTTCTATTTCTTGCAAATATCCTTGTATTAAACTTGTTACTTCAGGATTTTCAGTTGATGATACCCACTGACCAGCAGCTTTTTCTGCTTGTAGAAGAACATTTTTTGCTGTTAATGCTTCAACTGTTTCTGAAAGAGCTTTAACTCTAGTACGAAGGCTTTGTAATTCACTATTCAACATTTGATTTTCATGCCAAGCATCATTTATACCATCTTCTCCGACAACTCTTTTACCTAAGAAAAAATAAAAATAAATAAACTTTTCAGTTTTTCAAATAAAAGATATATACCACAAAAATCAATTTTGTATATCCATTTACCTTGTCTATATTCCATTAATTCCAATTGAAGCTGCTGTATTTCTCTTCTGAGAGAAGCAATTGTTCTTGAACTCTTATCCTGATTAATTGTAACTTTATTCTTTATATTTCTTGCTCTGTTTGCATATTTCAGAGTACTTAAAGTTTCCATAAAATCTCTATCACTTGGTGAAACACATGCTATCATAACTGTTTGACTATTACCTATAATTAATTTTATATATAATATCTTAATACAAACATAAAAATATTTATTCTATAACTTAACATTAACATTTAACATTTTTAATATTTTATTACCTCCTAGTGAATCTTGAAGTAATCTAGTCAGTTTTGAATCTCTATATGGTACATGTAAAGCTCTTTTTGTTTTATCACCAAGAGCAGAAATTACATTACCTAATGCCAACTATAATGCAAAAAATAATTATGATGATTGAAATATTGTGCAAGTTTCTTAAAAAATTATCAACACATTACCAATCCACAATTTATAGATATCCCCTCTTTTGCTCTATCTCCTGTAGCACCAGTTCTTTTCAATCTTTCTGACCCAGCTAAATCTACAAAATGAAATTTTGCAGTTAAAGTTTCAAATTCACTAGTAGGTTCAGAACCACTTGTATCAACATCAGCATCAGGATCTTCAATTTTTATATATCTTTGTTGCTTTATGTACAGGGTAAATATTGCATGTGATCTTGATGATTGGGTATTCATTTGGGTTGATCCAGTTGTACGTGATAATGCTCCTAATCTTAAATACTCTAATGCTTCTTCTGGACTAGTAACAATTCGTGGTTCCACTCCAGCTAAATGAATATTGCCTGAAGGATCTTCATGAATACGAGCACCACCTCTAGGTCCACCAGGTCCTAATAAATCTTTCAAATCCTCATTATATAACTCTAAAAATTGTGCAGTAACCTATTATAACATATAAAAAAAATTATTTATTTAAAAAAAATATATTACAAGATATTATAAGATATTTTATAAGATATTTCAATTTGATATCATTTTGTTAACATAAGTAAAATATAAACTAAAAAATGTTAAATAATATAATATATATTGTGTTAGAAATTAATTTATACAAAGATACTTCTTCTTTTATTAAATTTTTATTTTATAAAATAATACAAACCTTAAATTCAGGAGGCATTTGTGCACGCTCTCTAGCATTATGTTGTTTTTCTATGATACCATCGAATAAATGTTTAATAGCTCTTGGAATAATTCCAATTATAGTTTCATCAACTTCCACATCAAATCCAGTACCCATAGTATATGTTTTTCCAGAGCCAGTTTGTCCATATGCAAGAACAGTTGCATTATATCCATCTAATGCACCTTCTATTAAACGTGCAACACATGTTTCATAAATTGTGCTTTGTCCTACACCAGTATCAAAAACATAATCATATGTAAAGGCCTTGTCAGGTCCAAGAAAGACTTGGGGTTCTCCAAGAGGTACTTGAGTACAAATTCTACACATGTCAATTACTTCACGTGCTACTTGAGGCCTTATTCTGTTAATAATAATAAATTATAAATTTATAATATTATAATTATAATATATATAATTAATGAAAGATATTTATAAAATTAAATAATGTATATATAAATATGAAATAAAAAAATGAAATCTAATTTTTGTTTTAACGTATATATTATGTTCAATTAACGTATTTATTTATATTCATATTATATTATAATTACATTCTAAATGCTAAAATCGATTCTACGCATCAACTGTTATTATGTATCGTACATAAAACTCCCGCGTAATAAAAGAATATGAAGAAAAAAAAAAATTTAAATATATTTAAATAAAAAAAGAAAAAAATAAATAAAAGAATTAAACAATAATAAACAAAAATAAGTTAAATTATAAAGATACAAATTATAAAGATGAAAAAAATAATGCGAAAAACAAAATTCATTCATCAGAAATCAAGATATAAGTATTCATTATACAACTAGTAATAAAACCTACGCATTTAATTCTTTAAAAGGAGATATTACATGGTTAAAACATTTGCAATGTAATATTGCATAAAAGAATGCTAACAAAATTTTAATTGTAAAATAATTTGAAAAATACGAGAAATATAAATGAAAATATATAATCAATAATAGAAAGAAAAAGCAATATTATTTTTATAATTTATTACATATTTGTTACTAAAATCTAAATTATGTATAATTAATTTTAAAAAAATTTAAAAAAAATTATTAATTATTATTGAATTATATGGATGTTGACAATTGATTTATATAATTGTTTTACTAATATTTGGAGAAATCTGTAACCATTTTGAAATGCGAAATGGTCTACATAATAAGATTTTCTAAAATCATGAAAGTGTAACATGAATTGATACATTTTATAATTTTTTATTAAACTTACAATCATGGACTTCTAAATTTAAAAAAAAAATATATAATATTAAATAAAATACATCGAGAACAAATATACAATTATATATATTAATTATAAAAATACTAAAATATACTACAGTCATTAAAAAACTTTTTGAATTCGATTAATACTTCGCGCAAATTTCAAAGTTAAGTTAACTGAATATCATCAATGTGATAAGTTGTCATCGCATAAAATCATTAATGTTAGTTTGACATGTAGTCTAGTCGACACTACAGCGTCTTTTCAAAAAAAATATTTTAATGATTTGATGTTTTAATATAAAAAGTGCACTGGACTTACCGTACGGCAACGCGTACACTCGTATCATCAGACATTTCGATGTTAAGTATTGTGCAATTCTTTAAGACGTAAAAGCAACAGAACTGAAGAAATCAACGAGAAATTACAATTAGGCTGAACTATTAGGCGACAGTTATAATATTTCAATACACGAATATACTGAATGCGCACGCGTTATTAGATGCGGTGGTTGTGAAAATTCCGCATTTTTCGTCGTGGACGCGCGCATAGATAACCATAAAATCCACTCAAACATGTCTCATAACGAAAAGAAATCTCTATCCTAGTCGCGTCAACTTAAGGATTGTATAGATCCTGAACTGAAATCATACGTGACAGACATCTTTAATTCTTTATGACTTAAAGTGACTATGTGCATCATCTGTTGATGGTTTTAAAAACTACTAATAGCTTTATCAGTTAGAAATTATCGACTGTTTTCTATTCTTTATTAATTGTTAATTTTTAATTGTTGATAAATATATACAAATTAAGTTAATTAAAATACATACAATATAATTTTTATTCTAATTATTAATACAAAATGTACATGATATGCAATATTTTTTCGTGTTACATGCAACAGGTTACAGATTTTTATTTTATATTTTTTTTATTTTTATATATATATTTAAATTGTAATATCCTATAATATTCTCATTTTTCTTAAAATTAATATTTTAAAAATTGATATTGAAAACAAAATTTTATAGCATCGTGTCTCTTTTATATCTGTGTTAAAATTTTTATTTCATCTTATCCTACTTTGATGATATTTTTCATGTATAAAAGATAGCACTGACGATCTGATTCTTACTTGATTTTCTATTATTTATTTTCTTTATGTTAATTTCATTTATAATATTCTGAGAAAGCGCATTTATAATATTCTGATTTCCAAATTATTACCTATCTCTATTTTTTCCCACTAAAATGATAACTTATTTTCTAATGTTGGTATACCTGAACATTTATAGATATAAGATAGCGTTGGTCACTTTTCCGGTTACGATCTTTCAATATAACAAGATGGCTGATCAGGTACGTATGCATTTAATAATAACAATATGTATGCTTTTTTCATATTTATTTTCATTATTTATGAAATATAATTGTCCACAAGATTAATTTTATTATCATAATTTATATTGTATATGTAAAAGATTGGTTAAAAGATTTTAAAAATTTTGCAAAAAGTTAATGATAATATAATTGCTGCACGTGGTTAGAATATTTAAATATTCAAATAAAAGTGAATGTATTATATGCTTTTAGAGTGAACGTGCATTTCAAAAGCAACCTACGATCTTTCTTAATCGTAAGAAAGGTCTGGGTCCCAAAAGACGAAAGCCTATGAGGTATAGTCGTAATGTAGGTCTTGGTTTTAAAACACCTCGTGAAGTAAGTATACAATTTATGAAAGGTAATATAAATTTAAAGATAAATTTTAATAATACTCAAAAAGTGCATTATAATTTTATTTTTAATATTATTTTTTAGGCGCTTGAAGGAACCTACATTGATAAAAAATGTCCATTTACTGGTAACATTTCTATTAGAGGACGCATTCTTACTGGAGTAGTACAAAAGATGAAAATGCAAAGGACCATTGTTATACGTAGGGATTATCTTCATTATATCAGAAAATATAATCGTTTTGAAAAACGTCATCGTAATATGAGTGTTCATCTTAGTCCTTGCTTTAGGTTTGTTTGAATAATTTTAAAAAATTATTATTAAGATTATATGATGATAATAACGACGGTCTTCTGAAATATAATTTGAAGTAGTTCATTTATTTTCTGAAAAAAAATTGAATTTTATATTCGTGACAAAGTTTCTTTTCTTTTATTATATATTATTATATTAATGTTTATTACAGAGATGTGGAAATTGGTGATGTAGTAACAATTGGTGAATGCAGACCACTTAGCAAGACAGTTAGATTTAATGTTCTGAAGGTTTCAAAAGGAACAGGATCTAAGAAAAGTTTCAAAAAATTTTAAGGTTATAAATATTATAATTTATAATTATTAATAAGATTGATTTTTTTTATAAATTATTGAAAAAAACAAAAAAATTCTAAAATGATGAAAATAACGACGGTCTTCTGAATTTATCAAAATGAACGACATTATATCGTATTCTGAATATTTCAAAAATATCATTTCAATATATTTCTAAAAAAAATTCAACATTCTATTTTTATTTTATTTTTTGTGTTACAGGAAACATCAACAATATTAGAAAGAAAAGAAGGAAGTTATATAAATTATCATCTTGACTTGTATCTTTTCATGTTACAAATTAAATAAACATTTCTAAATAAAATTTTTTATCATTTGTTTTATAGTTACAAGTAATTTCAAAATCACAAAAAATGATAATTAGTATTTCAGAATATAATATTTTGTACATATTTTGTACATATTATGTATAATATTTTTTACATAAATATAATAAATATTAGAAAGGTTATAAAGTAAGTCATAAGTATATATGTTAAAAAATATATTTTTATAAATTTTAACGAGAAAAATATTTTATCAAAACAATTTTTACATTCTAAAGCACTTATTGTCAATTAAGAGACATTATATTTAATTACAAAAGAGCATATTATATCAATAGAGTATATAAATTCATCACAATCATCTTATATTATTAATATATTTTTTTTTCAATAATATCAATATAAATAAAAATAATTTCATATCGTGTGAATTATCGAAATATTATTAGAAATTAAAATAAGATATATAATATCCATTAACATTTTTATACAAATCTTTATAAATAATTCAACTGCCAATCAGCATATCTTTGGCGATTCCTATTTTTAAATGCTGATATAATTAAAGAAAAATTTATGAATAATTACAAAGGCACTATGTACTGTGCTATTTAATATTATTTCTGATATTTAATTAAAAATTAATGTATATATTTCATTTATACAGTTTAATATATTATACAATTAAATATAAGAAAATAATATCTTATTCATTAAATATCATATATTTTTGCCAATATTAGCAATAATATTCAAATCAAATTTTCAAATTTTTATATAGTCTCACTCATATAAAATATAGCCATCTTTAACTGATTAATATTGCAAGTTTTTATGACTGCTATTATAACTCTTGTACTTATTATATCAGCAATATATATTTTTATTTAAAAAAATAGCTAATGATTATTAACTAAATGATTTTTAGAAGAAAATTCAATTATATAAAGTATATATATAATAGGTCCTGCAAAACCTAATAATAAAGAAAATCCAAGAAGTTGTGTCCATGATAATCCACAATCATCACCAGAACATCTAAATGTTTCTGTTAAATGAGGGTTTTTTGTATTATTCTCTGTTGAGGTAAGTAATTGATCACATTCTGAATTGATAATTTCTAAAGAATTACTATTGTTGTATGATGATAAAGGTTCACAAACAGAATTTAATATAATTGTATTAATTTCTGCCTTTGGCAATTCAATCACAACAGGATTTTTTATCACATTTAATAATGGATCTGCCATTACTATATTTTCTGTTTTTTCATCAGGAGTAGATATACTTACTTCTCTTCTGTCTAATTGATTATTTTTTTGATCATGTTCTAAGGTTTCAGTCAATAAAGAAAATGGTTGTATAGGTACTTTGATGAATCTTCTTGCATGTATTTCATTTTCTTTGTGAATCTTGTTGATTCTCTTCAATTCAGAAATCTAAAAATATAACTTCTCATTCAAATTTATTTTAAATTATTCTTGAATTGATTTTTTTTTTAAACTTTACCGTGCATCTATACCGTAATGCCAATGCTTGTAATGTGTCTTCTGATTTCAGTGGAACATATATAACTTCCACCTTACGTGGCAATGATTTATTACATTGTTGCAGAGAAATAGTTTCTTCATCTCCACTATTTTCATCATCTGAATATAAAAAGACATAATGTGGGGAACCATCCCTCTGATTTCCACGTTGATAAACCATTTGTCTCAAAGAAATCTTTTTGCTATATATACAAATATAATTTTAAAATCACAAAAATATTAATTATTAAAAAATTAATAATTTATTAAAAAAAATTTTGAAAAGAACACATAATTTGAATTATATATATGATCTGTCAAATTATTATTTACGACTATCAAGATTGTCAATTACCTTACACTTTTTACTTGACACAAATTATCTTTGTTATCTTTTATTGTTCTTTATGTGCATTGTTCGAATGTAAATAATATTTCTAAATAGAATTACTAGTTAAATTTTGATAAAATGTAATTCTTTTCACAAGTCACATATGCGTTGTATCTTATAAAATAAAAAGAGGTTAAGGTATCTATTAATTCTATGATACAATACAACACATTCACATGAAATATTTTCATATTACTGCATATCAAAATGTTTGGATTTCAGGAAGAAGGTGAAACTTTAAAAGATAAATCAAAATGTGCTCATTTACGTGCAAGCTTGAAAATGTGTTTATTGGAAACAGATTGTTGTAAAATAGTAAGTTATGAAATTGTATTATTATAATTATCCTAACCTTTATTTACGATATATTATGTTTATAAATATTCGAAATATGACTTGTAAATAGATTTATTTATTTTATTATAGCAAAGACGAACTCCTAAAGATTGTCTTGTAAGCATGGATCCATCTGTTCCTGAAGAATGCTATGCAATACGTCAAACATTTTTTGAATGTAAACATTCAATTGTAAATATTTTATTTAAATAAGTGATATAATACAATAAATAAACAAGTAAGCTAATTTTAATTTGTATATTTTAGATTGATGGAAGACGAAGATTTAGAGGACCTAAAGGTTATTAATATTTAATCATTATATATATATAGAAAATAAGGCAATAACAATCCATAAGAAGTAATATTAGAAGTGATTTATTAATATTCTGTTATTATTCGTTGTACATGATATAATAAATCCTATCGTAATTGCGAAATATCAATGTATCATACAATCTCATTTTGTTCGACGAAACCTGTCAGGATCCCGCGATCGAATTCACAGATAGAATTTTATTTTCTGATACGATCGCAATGTTACCCTGAAGAGGCATTACTCCTACGTGGAGCAAAAGTATTTTCATAAACAAACTTGTGCAGACAAAGAATCGTTTTTTAATGGTGTTTCTCCTTAAGAACAAAACCAATCAATCACACCTAACATAATCAAATCACGCAGTCACGCGGTCTCTTGTGCCGCGTTCAGTCGCATACGTATTTTTACGAGTGTATCGTTTCAATCGCGATACACGTGAGGATCACAGTAAAATCGCGAGTTTATTTCTCGTTTGTTCGTTCATCTTATATTTAAAGAGCATCTTGTTCCACATTTTTGTTTCAGCGAGTACGAAAGGACGTATTTTAATAAGTTATACGTCGTGGATTCTTAAAAATCTACGTTAATTGATCGCGCCTGCGCAATCATTCTAGCTATTGTCAGTATGCAACAAGCGTATATTGACTATACGTTTTTATTTTTATTTTCTCGTCTTTTGTACTACAATATCAAATTTTGCTACTCGTTCTCTTTCTAAAAATTCTACGGGCACCTAAGAAAGATCTGGTAAAAGCTTTTCCCACATCTTTCGATCGATTTATTTATTTTTCCCGGCAAAAAAAGACCTATTCTTCCATCGTTAACGTCAAACAAAGTATAAATTTAAAAGTTAAACGATTGTGTCAATTGATTTTGTTATTCTAGATTCGAAATCATAATTCATTCGTGAATCTTGTCATTTGCAATCAAAACCCGCGAATATCGATAATCCAGTAAAAAAAAAGATATGTAATATCAAATATACGAATGCAATTAGTAAAAGATTAGGAGATTATATTTATAAACGGGTATTCTTGATCTGAAAAGGCTCTATCAAGTTGAAATTTTTCTTTTCTAACAGATCTTGAAAAAGAATGTAGCATTCTTAAAGAGTACTTTCTTTTTTTTTTTTTTTTTTTTTTTTTTTTTTTGATTAAGAAGTATTCGCGACATTCTCGTTACATTCGTTGTGATATATGCGGTAATAGTTCAAATATCACAGTTTTTCAAGTATATGATATGTAGTTTAGCGATTTAATCGATAGTCTTCGATGTAGTAATAAAAGTGTCTTGCAAATCTCTATATTATGTACATGCAAATTGCACTCAGTTATCGAGCGACGCATACGCTCGCATAAAATGTTGGATGAAATATGTAAAATCGAAAAATACAAACTGGCCAGAGGCATAGCTAAACGGGTATGCAGCCCGAAGCGTAGATTTATCATTGAAATTTCTCTAAAGCGTATACGAACGTGCCTTAATAAAAATTTTTTACCATTCCGTTGTAATCAGAAATCACGAGATAAGTAAATTTTTGATTTTTCCCATTGGCTGGCCGTTGAATTCTGGTAAAGGAGGAGGGCTCGTTTCATGAAATTATGAGATTTATAATAACGTCGGCAGTACGGCTTAATAAAGTGCTTAATCACATGAAATCCATTACCGCGATAGTATATAGTGCGATATAAGAAAGTAAGTTTATAAAACTGGGAGAATTTGTAAAATGATCAAAGTGTACGTATCATACAAAGAGAGGATGCTAATATTGTAAACACTATTATCGCGGCTCAGACGAAACGAGCCCCGGAAAACTCTCTATTACACAGAGATTATCTTTACTAATCATTACATTTTCATATTTTTTACTGATCAAAGCGATTCTCTTGCTATATTCGAGATTGGAATATTGCAATTGATAAATTTACAACCACGCCAAACCACGCAATACCACAAATTTATGATATTCATTGTATCTAATCATAGTAGATACAACTTATCAACAAAGGCCAGCCATATTTCAAACGATTTGTTATTCGAAATGGAAAGTTCACAAAGTGGCTCTGTTTTGTTGGACTATTGTGATATCGTTGGCGCGTGGTTAGCGTTTCCTGAGAAATCAGAAGCACACCGAAGGTCTATAGAGACCGGTATAACCGCATAAACGGGCACGTAACGCGGGCAACAATATCGCTGCCGCGGAGAGATTGTCTTGCAATTGCGAACATTCGCAGATCAGTAGATACATTTTGTCGCCTTGTGACATGGACTTGTGCAATGTGATTCGCCTCAGGCCCACCGATTTCGGCAAATATCGGTACATCATACGGGCACCTGAAGCAGATATATAATCACAACAAAAATTTAATAATTCATTTGCAAATTAATATTGTTACAGGATAAACGATCAGATGTAATATATTCTAATAAAAGTGAACGATGTACCGGTCCAATAGAGCCAATTTTGCTCGAACTTAAGGCCGTCGTCGCCCTCGAATACTTTAAAAATCGAGACAATATAGCCTGTGGACGGAATCGGTGGTCTGACACCAGGTGGTTCTAGCGGTGGTCTTGCTATGGTGGCCACTTCGTTGAATAGATCCAATGTGTGATTGGCCGCATATCGAAGATCTCGAGGATCGAATTTTCTCAAGGCAGCGCATTGAACCTCGTTATAGAAATCAACGGGATCTGTGTTTTGCTTGTTTATTAAATAATATGTGATGAATGGGAAATCCGCTAAAAATCAATCGAAATTTGCAATTTAATCACAGATTCTCCAAAATTTAACTATTATGTATACTTATAATTTCAAGTAGATCAAATTACCATTTTTCTCCATATTCGTAAGAAGAATACTCTGAGAAGCTGAGGGTGCGATCTCAGCGACCAATTCGGCCGCAGTATCCCGTTGTAGGACCAACGGCCTGGTAACAGGAGACTCGACCAAAGGATCTAATGGCTCCAGAGGTGTCATAAAGTGAGCAAGAACACATTGCTTGGGATCTTCGACTTCGAGAACCGACAGAGGACTTCCTGGTCTCTTTTTGTCCGCGATTGGGGCATGCTGGAACGAGTCGGAATAAAGCTGTAGTTCAAAAAACAATGATTAATCATCTGTTCACATAACTTCTCGATTTTTGTTTGCTTTCTTTGACGAAAACACATTACATCATACGAAACATCTTTTAGAAAGTATCTTTTGAGAAAATAAAATAAAAATAGAAGATATTAGTAAAAAAATTCGTAATTGTAACGCTTTACACACGTCATTTATATTACGTTAATGCGTCATTCATCAGACTTTTGTTGTACACCGTTCGGTAAGTTACGTTTTTGTCTATTTTTACGCGTTTGAGGCCAAGCCAGCAAGGCCAAGCCGTAGCTGCTCATCGAGCCTCTAAGGCCAATAACTCGAGTATTCTGGTTTTATCGAGTGCATTCCTGATTAACGTAGTTTTGTGCGGATCGTTCGAAGGATTTAAAAGAATTCACCAAAAATATTATAGATATACATAATACAATAATGGAATCTATCACAAATGGAATATATCTGGAAATATCTATCTATCGTTTCGAGAAAGCTCTCTCTCTCTTTATTTGAAAACAAATAATCTCGATATGGAAATCAGGCGACAATAATAACGTAAAAGAACAAGAATCGAGGAAATTCTGTAAGTATTTTTATCAAGCGCGTTTTAAAACAGCACTAATTGTGATATAATAGTTAAAATCATCTTGAATTTATAAATGAACATGCATGTTCAAAGTATGTTTGTTGCATAAAAAGTAAAAAAAAAAAAAAAAAATCAAACGCAACGAACGAATGTTGTTTGATGCATGTTCGAATTGTGTATAAATTTTCTTAACATACCGGTACTCCCGCAGGTAAAAAACGTTCGAGAGATGCGAGGGGAATGATGAAACAGTCGCGGTCCAAGGTAGCCAGGGAGATTGGTTCGCCACGCGGAGGGCTGTTCCCGGAAACCACCAGGGGCGTGTATGCGCCAGACGCTCGGTTACCGCTGAAGGAAACCTATAAATGCCATACAATTCGGGATAATTAACTCTGGTGACCTGACACAAACTCGTGTATACACGTACAATTCATACAAATTGACCCGTCTAGTACCAAAAGTTTCCACGAGTTGTGCAGATGAACTATCATGTTCAGAATAGAGGGGCTTCTTGTTTTGAAACTCGCGCGTTTTTTTTTAAAATAAACGCAAGTTTGAATCGAAGAGGAAATTATTTCAATGGAAATGGATGAATATTTTTATTTTTATTCGCGTTTAATTGAAATAATACGTATCATATTTGATCACGATCATTCTCGATATTTAAATGAAAGGAATGGATTCCACTTATAAAGGTAAAATAGTAATTCTTGACCCGATTTTTCATTTCATCGTGATTTTTCAAATATTTCTATTCTTTCAGATATGGCATTTGGACGAAATAAAAGTTTGAATCGAAGAGAAAATTATTTCAATGGAAATGGATGAATATTTTTATTTTTATTCGTGTTTAATTGAAATAATACGTATCATATTTGATCATTCTTGATATTCAAATGAAAGGAATGGATTCCACTTATAATTAAAAGTAAAACAGTAATTCTTGACTCGATTTTTCATTTCATCATGATTTTTCAAATATTTCTATCCTTTCAGATATGGCAGATTTGGACGAAATAGATGGATGTCTAGTGTTTGAAGTGCAGACTGGTTGAAAACAAACTTCCAATTTATAATTTATATATAACTTTGATGTTACGTATTTTATTTTAATTTTTCGTCATGACACTACTTAGTACCTGACTTTAAAAAAAAGTACTTTAAAAAAAAAAAAAAAACTGCCACCATCCATAATCTGTAAAACTCAATGGCCTAAAAAAAAAGTAATGAATTTGATGCATGTAAGAGGTCATTTGAAGGTCACATTTGCATTGATAAAATCTTAAAAATTCTTTCAATTTAAAGACAGTCGTTCAATTTTTTCTCATTCCTTTCAACCAATCAATTATACGTAATAACATAATTCTTTCGCTTCTAGTAACCGATGATCGAACCGAAACACACACAGGCCAAGCCAACATCACCAACAACATCGCCAACATCACTGTCAATCGTAACGTCGTGTTTACACGTTGAGCTTGGCTCTGTTGCATTTTTAACAGACGCGTATCCCACGGAACGGCACCCCCGAGTAACAAGTGAACGTTGAAGTCGTCTCGCAATGTAGGTTAACACGATTCCTTTTCCGTTGTTCCCTTCGTTTGTTCCAGCCATTCGACGGTCAGCCATGTGATTTATGAAGACACGCGAAACCATCTTGTCTCGATATTTTGGCCTAGAGCACGACATTTTCGTCCGAAAGGGAGAACACTTTTGCCCGATATTAAATCGAACGAGTTGAATGGAAAAAGGTTAAGGGTTGCGAGATAAGGTTATACACACTGTGCCAAGTACTGTTTTATACTTCACGAAGTTTCTTTTATGGAGCGTTTAAAAATTTTAAGTAAACTATGGTGGATAGTTCTCCTTTTTTTTTTTTTTTATTAGACTGGTGTATATGAAATTCCATTTGTGTGAAAGTAATTTTTCTATGATTTTATATACGTATATATATTCTTTTTTAAATGGTTGATGCAATTAAAAATTTTTTTGATCTAAAATTCAATAAATTTTTACAGTTTTCTCTTAATTTCAGTTGATAGAATGATTGACAATTAGGCAAAATTTGATCGAAGAACGATATCTCATATACATCGATACTAACTCTATTTTTTTCTATCTATAGACTGACTATCTTTATCTAGAGAAAGCTCGTGTGGATCTATAGTAATCTGGAATGATTCATAGTACTTGAAGTAGAGTATCGAGAATATCAAGGTCTCGTTTATTATTAATTAATAATCATCAATGTTTTCTATTACTAATTAAGGATAGGATAAGAATCTAGTACGAAAATTTTAATCGTTAAACGAAAAATTCTTTCCGTTTTATTAACGAATAATGACATTGACTCAGAGTGGAATGTTTCCATCCAAATTATAATAAAACCATCTGGTCGCAATGTTTTTTGGCGCACGTGGCGCATTGGTAATTGAAATTATTTCGCAACAATGAACCACGCAGTTGAAACACAGGATGTATAATTAAAGTTCAAGATCGAGGTCGAGGTATTGATCGAACCTACGCGAAGACTACAAATTTTCTTCCGAGAAGCTAAGAGGAAAAAAAGGTAAATCGTAGTTTTTTACGGAATTTTCGTTGTTCCCATCGATTCTAATGATTCCAACCCGTTACAACTATAAATCTTCATTTAAAGATAAAATACAAAATTTTCATTGCACGAAATATTTTCATTTCAGAATTTATTCGTTCAAAAATATCTCTCCCCTATTGAAATCTCGAGGATATTTTTATAAAATTTTCCATTTTGGGAAAAGTAGAAAATAAAAAATGAAATGAATTATGCAAAAAATAAAAAAATGGATGATATTCTTTTTATAAACCACGACCATTTGTCAGATAAATTTTTATCGGCACGTAAAAACCATTTCGTCACGCTTGGTCCGTGATACTGGCTATGTTTCATGTTTCGAAAGAAGGCATCGACGGATACATTTGCATTCAGGAAACCGAGCCGAATGTTATACCGTTTGTACGCGTTCCGACTTTGCGCTCTATTCCATCGAAGATGTTGTAAAAGTCTGCCTAACGGATGGTGAGCCGCTTTACATTCCACAGAGGTGAATTAATAACCGAGAATTTTGAAATTTTTCCGACTGCGCCTGTAAAACTTTAACACGCTGTAGTTCGCCGCAATGAAAATTTGCCTCTAACTGGAATTTGTCTTAATTTACGAAGCTTTTATTTTTATTTTTTTTACTTTAACACATAGCAAAAACAGTGATTTCTGTTTTAATTAACCGATTATGCGAGCATGTTTTCTGATCATTCAATTTAATAAATGATATTTCAAACGATCAATTTTTAAAAAAAATAAAATTATAAAAAGTATAGGACAAATTTCAGTGTGCAAAAATTTATACACATGATTATTTCTCCTGAATTTTGAGTCTTCAAATTCAAGAATAATATTAGAAACTATCTTCATTCGAATGAAATGACGTATTTCCAGATTGACAAATACAAATTATAAAAACAAATAATAAAAATTATTTTTTTACAGATGGTTCCGGATTCAATTTTTTCTTCTTACAATCAATATCGCAACAATCTTTCCTCTACATCTTTCAAACGTTCCCTCGACAATCTTAGAAAGAAAAAAAAAAAAAAAAGAAGAGAGAGAAAGAGATCCATTTCGACAAGTATCCACCGCAACGATTCATTCGGGAATTCAGGTCCGATTCGAGGTGTGGAACGAGCACAATGAGCGCACAGGATATCGAACAGAGTCGGCCGGCTCGCAGGAAATTTATGGTACCCCGCGAGATCCGCCTTGGCGTGCAATAAGATAGCGAGTTTGCGTGTCGACCAGGAGGATAGAGCGTAGGTGTAAGTTTATGCCGGTTGTTCCGTGTAGGGTACGGCTCCTCGTTTCCTCCATAATTCCAACCGGTCGTGAAACTATCCTGCATGCGCCCTAACTGCGCCTATCTACATGTGTCCGTGTGCATCCAGTCCGAGGCGTGTACTTTTCGTTGAAATATCTACTACTCGTCGATATCTAGCCCCCCTTAGTGGGGCAACCATGTTATAATTTGCGAAACGAAAATAATTTTGGGAAAATAAGAAGAAAAAGGAACACGTCGATGCTGTTTCCTCCTTTTTCAATGAGCTTGAAATACGTTAACGACATCATTTTTTAATTGTAAATATACGTATGTACGTTGATGATGATCGGTCTTAGTTTTTAGAATTATATGCAAAAGTGTTTTTCACTTTTATATTATAGAATTGTAGAATCGATTTAGATTGATTGATTTCATTTTTATCTGGCCGAATCGATGAAGAATTTAAATTAAAAAAATGATCGTAAACTGTTATCTTTCGATGAATCGATGGATTGTAATAAACAAAAATATATAAATCTCATACTTCAAATATACTTCAAGCTCATCGAAATCAGTGAAAAAAAAAAAGCTGATAGTCACGGTGTTCTCTGTATCAGATAAGCAACAAGCTTCAATCGAGCACGATAATGTATCGTGTCCCCGATTTATCATTCGATTGCGTATCGTCGAAACAAGATTTACGATTCTCCTCGTGCATTCGTTTTGTAAGGATTCGGGATTCTCCGCGACGCATCAATTTTGTTCGATCCTCCTCCGTTGGTCAATGTTTTCCTCATTGGATGGATCAAAGAGGTTGATATACGCCTTCTAAAAGGTTTGTACCGCGGCAGAATTGTCGACCATTGATCGGAATTGGGTTTCTTCGATTGTCACGAAGACTTTGGTTGCTTGTGTGGTAGTTTGCCGGATAAGGGAAGGGGGCTGATTAAATTTAACCTACATTCCCTACACCTGAACCGAAGTATTTGATTAGACACGAGCGAACGACCACACGTTTGGCATCAATCTCCCGGATCGAAACGTAACGCGGCGACCAAGATTAATTCCGCCATTTTGGAGAACGATAAAATTAAAAAAAAAGTGATAAAATTACAACGACCTTGAAATGACCTTCTTTTCCACTTACAACAAATTCGAAAAGAAATTTTTCATCCCCCTCCCTATCTGCTCGACGTTATTGGACACGTTACGACGTGATTCGATTATATTTTCTTTGAATTCTCTTCCAAGTTCAATCGTTTCGTTGCAAAATTAAAGAGAAAAATGAAATTTACATAAAACAAAACAAAAAAAAAAAGATCTCAAACCCTCTCTCCTTACCTGTCTCGAAGCAGTCGGGGTCGAGGGTTCCGAGGGTTCTTTCTGCTGGGAAGCCTGTTTCCTCCTCGCCTGTCCTCCGGCTCCCGATCCCTGTCCCGATCCCTGTCCTCCTCCACCCCCTCCACCGCCACCCCACTTTATCACGTGGGGCCCAGAATTTTTCCTGGGTGGAGGGCCTAGCCTCTCGGTCGGTTCCTCCGGTGGCGAGCCGAGGGCACCGCCTGTCGGTGGGGTGAGAAACAGGTGAGTCCGGTACCCGAACCCCTGGTGCTCGTGATCGGCCATCGAGGGGAAGTAGCCGAACTCTCTGCTGCGTCGTATCGGTGCGCGCGCCCCGACCGCCGACTGGCCGGCGCCGCGCACCACGCCGAACCGAGTCCCCGTGTACCCCAAAGTGGCCGGCCCGTAAACGGTGCCGAGGACCGAGCGGCCCTCCAGTCCGCCGCCTCCTCCTCCTCCTCCTCCACCACCACCGAATCCCTTCTCGCTGAAGTTCTTGCGGAACATAAGATTCATGATTGACTGAGCGTGAGAAAGAGAGAAAGAGAGAGAGAGAGAGAGAGAGAAAGAGAGAGGGCAGTGTGTGACGGACAAGAGAATCGTACAAGGAGGACGCGGTTGTTGCTTCGATTATCTTTTCGATCGATTTTCCATTTTCTTTTCGTGTCGATTTTCGTGTTTATTAATTAACGTTTTCATTTCCTCTTTAGATCCGATTCGAGTCGATTTTTTTGTTTTTTTTTTTTTTTTTTTTTTTTTTTTTTTTTTTGTTTTTAGGTATAAGGCGAGTGTGATGATTCGTTTCAATGATGTTTTCAAGCCCGAGGGTGGTCTTTTCGGTCGAGTTTCTTTTACAACGAGTGGAAGAAGCAGCGCCGATGGTGGTGGTGGTGACGGTGCTCGACGATCACGAAAGCGTCTACCTAGGCAGCTTCCCTACGCTCGCAAGCGTCTCTTCTTTTTTGCAATTCCATATCGCGATTCTTTTCTTTTTCGCTCTCCGCGTTTCTTTCGTCGATCCAGTTCCCGCGCGGGGGGCAAATTCGTTCTTTCATCGATAATTTATCGAACGGTAGCTCTCGGAGATTACACTCGTGATTGGAATATCAACCTCGTTATTTTGTCTCCCCCAGGAAAAATATTCATCGGGAAAGGAAGGAATTTTCGAGGAACTTGATGCAACTCCGACTTTCATTTGTTAAGGAATCGAAAGATTAGAAATTCGGTTTTCCCTCTATCGAACAACAGTTTTTAAAATAAGATTCTTGCCGCGACAACGATCGTCCTCCCGTCTGGCCAATCGCGAAATTTTCATTTCCTTGCCACTTTATTATTTCTCCTTCGAAATTATTCAACCACGTAATTGTAAAGTAACCGATTTCCCTTCGATGCGACAATTTCCAAGTTTTTATCGTTGGAAGAAACGCGCGGCTCGTCTGATTGTACACACCACTTTGATCAATCCCAAGCCCTACCGTCGCTTGGCCCGCTCCGGGATAACTAGAATTTCTCGATCTCCGTCTTGGCGAGTTACCATCGTGCTTCCACGTGAATCTTACGTTTCTCTCTATGTCGTCCAAGTATCCGTTTATACGCGAAAAAAGATGCAGAATGAGATCATCGGAGAAACATAACGATTTACGATGTTGGTCGAGCCAGTCTGTGCCGCGAAGACGATCTCGCCAGAAGCTCCAAGGTCTAGAATTATAATTACACCTCGAGAAATGATGGATCGTGTCACGCAAGGATCATAGATACGTCTTCGTTTTAATAACGAAGAACAATCCTATCGTCGAATCGAAACATTCTCTTGAAATTTTCTCCCGAATCTTCCCACCACGTTCGCGTGGAAATAGTACAACAGTTTGGAAATTCTCTCGAATCTTTCCACGTATCGTTAGAGAAACGGAACAATCCTTATGAAATTCTCTCGAGGCATTCGAAGATTTGAGGAAACGAAGAAACGACGAATTCGATTCTTCTTCGTCACGTTCTCTCTTCACTGTTCCTCATCATATATACAGAAAGAAACAACAGCACCACTGAATTGTTCGACGAGATTTGATTCAAATTCTATTAAATTCGAAATTCCAGTCTCGAATGTTATTTATATCCCAATTATTACTCGTTTACGAATGCAACGACTTCAACGATTCGAGGTAACTGTTGCGCGTCGAAACGATGATTTCGGTGTGTCACGCGGATTTTCCGATACCAGAAGGAGGAAGCGAGCATGAGCAGGCCACAGCCGACGCGAAACGTGCCCTCCACACACAGGGGAGGACTGTTCGCCCGACACAGCGACACCGACTTTAATAGTCGAGCCTCTCGATTGATCTGCCGCAGCCGCAAGGACTGTCTTGTCACGACAGCGTTTACGGCGCAGAGCCTTTCGAGGGCTCGATACCTGAGACTCGACCTGGAACATCGACTGCAGTCAACCTGCCTCCAACGTCCGAGAAATGTCGGTTAAGGTGGTATGGGTTTGGATAATATTAGTGGATCGAATTTGGAGTCGATCGAAAGTTTTCCAAGCGATGAGTTTATTTTTTCTGGTATGGCTCTCGTAAAATAATTTTTTTAATTTCATTGATGAAGATACTTGGGTAATTATCAAAGCATCAATGGTACACACGAGGAAATTTCAATGATCCAATGTGAATCTTTGAAAATTTTCATTCAAAAATATTCTTCAATGATCTCGACGCTATTGGAAATAAATTAGAAGTTGAACGATGCTGAGAATTTTCGATATAGGCATAGAATAAAAATAAAATTTATCGATTTTTCAATTGAACGTTATATATGGATCATGCATTGATCTTGGAAAAATAAGAACGAAATAACTATTTCCACGTATATTATTTTCAAAAAGAAAAAAAAAATAGAAAATTTCCCTAAAGAGCCTTAGATCTTCGTCCGTGTCGTCGCGATTTTCCAAGAGAAGAAAAGTTACCATCTCCCTAGCGATCTTCCCTCACGCGAACAAGACACTAGCGTCTCCTTCTTCGAGAAACGTGAATTCCTTGCGCTCCATCGGATGAAACGTCTTTGACATACTAGATTACGTAGCTACGTTTCGATTTCCTCGAAAGAAGAAACTTTTGAATGCAATGTCTACGCTTGATCTCCGAATTTAACGATCGAGCAAGACAGGACCAAGTTCCATTCAAATGGAACATAATATATCTTCCTGAAACTTTAATATAATTCTCTGTGTTGGTCTCTGAACAATGTTTCGCAATGTTAAGATACTTGGGTGGAGAAGTTGCACGACGATAATCGGCTCATGATTCACGAGGCAAAGTGAATCGTATCTTCTACGTACAGAGGAATCGAAAGTTAAAAGAAGGATCGTGACTTGGAGTTATTCGAGTTGTTTAACGCTTCGCTTTCTCAGAAAGAGAGAGAAAGAGAGAGAGAAAAAAACGCGAAGTTTTTGATTAGGGGATAAAGAGCTACCTTTGGTTACTTTCGTTCGTCTGTCGAGGAAAAGCACCGAACTTTGCGCGCAAATCGGAGACTCTCAACATGGAAAGCGAACAGCAAGCGGTTATCAATTATCGGTTATCAACTGCGGAAGAATAACATTAAAGGATCGAGATAGTTAGTTAAAAACTGGTTGGTTCTACGTCTATTCAAAAATACATAGCGAAGCGTGAGAAATTACAAGGGTAAGGGGGTGAATTTCAAAGTGAAACTCTCGAGAGTGAATTTTTCTCGATTGGATACTCCATTGAGCACGAGCAACTTTCGTTCTCAACACGATATCCATTAAAAAAAAAAAGAAAAAAAATACAGCTCCCAAGAATTTTACTTTCAAATATTCACACTCTATATAGGACACCGACATTTTGTTACCACCAAAAACAAATAACTCAATCGAACGACAGTTAAAACGATCAACGTGTACTCCTGGACGAGTATTTCAACAGTGGAAATTACAAAGAGGAAGGGTTGATTGGCTAAAGGTACTCTGCCACAATCTACAGGAAAACGATGAACAGAGAGAAAGAGAGAAAAAGAGAGCAATACGTTCATACGAGACGAGGTATGCACCATCAACTATGTCCACGTTTCAAAGTCTATATATATATATATATATATATATAATCCCACAATTCACAAATATTGACAACAAGAAACACACACGATGCATGTGTAGAATATATTAGACACAGCACAGAAAGAGAGAGCGGATGGATCGATGGTCTCGCGAGGTAATCACCGACGGTTGGTGAACGTGTCCTGGCAAAGGTAGTACCTGGTGGTGATTAGCCCGTTGCGTGGTTGAAAAGGGACGCGGTTAAACCGAGTTGCTTCGAACCAAACACCGAGTGATGATCGCACGAAGAAGCGAATTCGCTTTCAGACATACACACGTGTGTTCCTCGTAATGCGCTAGATCGATACGCTATTGAAATATTCACGGGACGACGTATGTAGGGGGTGGTGCAACGTCAAGGCCTTTGTCGGCGAGCGCACTCCGTTATTTATTTCCTGGTCACGCGCTGATTCCTCCTCCTCCTCCTGCTCTGCGCTACGCACGTGGTCGCGGGATAGATCGATCTGAATCAGAAGCGAAGACCACGTGTCCTCGAGGATCGGTTCGACGAGGGTAGGTTCGCCACGCGACCGACAGCCCAGCACTGACCGAGTGCACGAGGCGTCGCGACGCTGACCAGAAACCCGATGACGTCTGCCCGCACCACCGACCGCTCTTCTAACACTGGCTGTGGTTCTTCTTTCGCGCCACTTTCGCGCCGATGGGCACGAGGGCACGTGTGTGTAAGGTGAATTTTAGATTGGCCTTTAATAGTTGCGGCGAAGTGCGAACGATCGGTTTTACGATCGTGAAATTTATTGCAATCGTGTGCCAACGGTGATTAATCATATGAATGGAAAACAAAAGAGGCTGATGTAAGTTTTGCCATGAAATTCTTCTCGAGATCGTTAAACGTTTATCTCGGGTATTGTTGTTGAAATGAAAAGTTTTTCGGATGGATGGAAATTATCGTAAGATTCTGGTGAGGTAAACATGGGAAACAACGATGCTCGTGATATCGATCAAATATATATTTTCCTGATTATTATTAATTGGCATCGAATCACAAGTGTGAGAAAATATAGCATTGATCGTGTTTATTGACATATGTTATTTAATAGATTATTTTGACTGGTCTGCGAATAGTGGTGCGAATTTTATAATGCACCACAGGAAAATGCAAGAAGAAGACGTAAAGATATTTTTACGAGTTGTAAAATATTTGCGGATTTACGATCGTATCGGTGTTCGAACTGCTTTCGAACAACTGGTTGGCACTGGTTCTCTTCGAAATGTCGCTGCGCATATATGTATGCAGAATAGAGAATAATTGAGCTTCTTCGCAGGTTTCTTCTTGTTAAAAATGTATAATTCTATTGCGGATGAATCTTAAGTAAAAATTGATAAGAATATTCAACATTAAAAAATATTACATAACTTTTTCATAATTTTATTTTGCGTTGCCATGCGCAAAAAGGTGCATCGAAAGTTTGGCTAGTCGAAAACAATATTTTTTTGGATCGATGCCATTGCAAGAAATTAACTAACTCGTCTCGTGAATATTATTAGAGCGTATTTATCGTCGCCGAGGAAAAAGTTGAAGGATTTTTATCGAAGGTTTCCCTTGAAACCGCTACTAAGAATTAAAACAATCACGCGAAGTGATACTAATTTCTTTTCAACGAGAAAACGAACGTAATAATTGTAATTCCTCCTGATGTATCGCAATTATTTATAAAATTTCACGTGATTAGAATCGTTTATTGAAAAAGGAAAAATTTGAAATAAACGATAATAGGTTGAGAAACACGGGAACTATATAAACTTTGAAATTTGTTTCAAATAGGCGACAAATATAGTTTGATTGAAGTGGAACGAGAATCATGGCGTAAAAAATAATTGTTATTGCGTGTTCGATTCTACAAAGAGGAAAAATTTTAATATATCGAAGTGAATTTTTGATCGTAATATATTTATCTGACACACAATTTGAAACATTTAATCAAAATACACTTCAAAATCCTAGAGATTAGTAACGTTGTTACGGATATTATTTATGTTATAATTAATTTATTTATATTATTACGTTATCCAATTAATCCCGCGTTTAATTCTATCAAAATTATACCATCGTGTTTGTAGAACAGAAGTGGATCAACAAGTGTTTCACATAAATCCAATTATTCGAAAGGCGAAACACAGACGTAACAAGAAGAAATATTGACAACTGTTTAAAATTCTATCAGTTTGCGAAACATTAAGCAACGAACCCTCGTATTTCCAATGACAATTCTACGATAAATTCATCTTCGTTAACGTGGAAATTTCACGGATCTACTGGTTTACAAATAATCGAAATTCATTCCCTTTGTCGAGATTTACGACGATGGAACGTCGCCATAATTCAGAACACCGTGTGTAATACAGCTGGGAATAAAAGAGCGGAATTTCGTCGTCGATCGCGCCAAAAATCGCGTTCATCGCACTTTTGGCATCGTTTCTGTTGTCCATCTTCGAATCTTGATTCACGGATCGGAAAGCACAAGAGCCAACAATGATATAGATCGTTTCTTTACGATTCTTCTCTTCGAGGAAAAAAATTCTTAAATTATTTTTACAAGAGATATATGTATATATATATATATTTGTCGATACTTTCTCAGAGCAATCAGATAGACAAAATGACAGAACGTAAATCTAATTATATCTCGTAAACAAGATCAAACAAAACGTATTGATGAACGATAATGATGTAACTCGTAAATTATTGGTTTAAAGAAAAACATCATTTATAGACGTAAAATTATTTAAATATTTGCTATTAGTTACGATACACCTTGTATTTTAATGTTTTTCGCCAAAAGTGCAGACAATATGGCTTGAAAAGAATCTTTTCTCTTCCTATATAAATGAATACACTTTCCATATGAATGTGGGATAAAAAAGAAGGGAATATTCAACACAGAAATGAGAAATTTCATAATCGTTACTGTCTGATTAGTTCCATTCACAGACGCCAGAGTATCATCTTTCTCGTCGGAGAAATGCCGACTCACACTACTAGTCCGACTACTGGCTTATTCCACTGCGAGCTTCTAACGAGCAACGCCCTTATTTGTAATTAACGTTACAGTGATGGACGCGCTTTTGCTTTTGTTTCTTGCAGTTTTCCATTTCGTATTTTACTCTCGTACGATCGTTCATTTCGCTTTCTGACGAAATAATTTACGCAAATGATTAATTACTTCATCAAATTGTATCAAAAAAAAAAAAAAAAAAATGATATGGCAAAGGGATAAAAATAACTTTCTTCGAAAAGAAAACGAGTGATTGATTAAATTTAAATTCTTTTCAACGGAATAATCAATCGAATCACCAACAATTCTCCAAACGAGAATATTCTAATTTAAAAAATACAAAAATACATACCGAATAAAAAGCGAGAGAAGTCAAATTTCCTCAAGCAAACAAATGAGTAACCGGATATTGTCTTACATCGTCGATACAACGACGAAACTTATTCTTAGAATTCGTCACGAGACTAAATCGTACATACTAACATGTTGGCTGTACGACAGAAACTATGAATACTTCAAGGTGGCCAGCGAGGGAGGCCAGTTCGTGGCATCAGTTTGTGAAAATCGGTTGTGGAATCGGTTGTCGATCTTGCAATGTCACGGCGATCGATCCTCGACCTTGATCCTTAATAAGGCTTATCGAAACGAATCCATTAATCTTTTTAATGGCGGCTGTTCCATATTTTTCGGTGGAAACCTTCTCCACAAACTCGGCCCATTTCGTCTCGAGGAATTGAATTTGAGGAGTGTCTTTTTGTCCAGGCCAAAACTTCTGCCGAGGACGTATATCTCAGATATAAAGTTTCTTTCCTCACGACCAATCCTTGTGCACTTTTGCCATCGTTAGCGGGAAGTCGATTCGAGGCCAATAATATTTCTATCGCTTTGAACTACCGCTAAAGTTACGTTTGCATTAGGCAACTGTGATATGATGGTTATAAATCAATCCATGTCAAAGTTCATCAAAGTGATACATATATGTAAACTTTTGGTACAAAGTTATTTTTAATCTTTAATAAACAGAATTTTCTTGTTGAAATTGATTGAAACTTATCGTTAAAAATAAATAAAATAAAATCGATCAATTTCAAATGATCGTCAGACTAAAAATTGTTTAATGTAAAATAATTGCACTTTAAAGTTTTTTTATTTCACAAAATTACACATGGACAAAATTTTACGATATATTCACATATCAAAATAATAAGAAAAAAATAAGTACATTTTGTATTAATTTTTTTATTTTTTATCTCATAACATTTAAAATATTAATCTCATAAAAGTGAAAAAATTTAACAAGTTTCAAAACAAGTAATCATTTTGGTCATTTAAATATATATATATATATATGGGGAAATAATTCAAAACTATCTATTTCAATCTATATCAATTCTAAAACTATCTATTTCTATATAAAAATTATAAAATTTAAATTAAACTTTCCCTTACAATCTTTCTATATATTTTAATAGAAATACGCTCATTTAATAAAGTTCTCTGAAAATCGATTTCATCGAAAATTCACGAATGCGTTTCTCGACAAGAAGTTATCCTTGCGGAAACACGGTCTTAAGTAGTTTTAAAACCTATACAACTTCCTTTAATCTCGCGGTGCTCGACATTCTGCTAAGGAATCCACGCGAAAATAGAACAAGAGCATTAAACTTGAACCGTGGAGTTCAAGTACGCGATTTATCGTTTGCTGATTTCGTCACGTGAGACCATTTTAGCAAGGTCGATGAACCTCCACTGCGATATCGTGTTTTTTTTCTTTCTTTTCTTCCTTTTTTTTTTTTTTTTATTCAAATATTTAATTATTGCTCACATCTCGCGATACGTGCGCATTGGCATATAATTTCAATTTTTATCTCCAATTACTCTTTCCTAATCTTTCAAGCAATCTTACCTTATTATCACGTTACACAATTTAGGATCTTTATGCATACTTTTTTTCATGGTACAAAATTTACATAATTTCTTCCACAACCTTCCAAGTGATTTTATTATGTTTATAAGATTGCATAATTTCTTAAAAATTTCTCTCACCTTAATTTTGAAAACAATATACCCTTTCGTAATATTAGAAAAATTTTTGTAATATTCCTAATACTAAATTTTCTCTTTCTT